TAGCAGAGGTACTATGCTAAACACTTCATTAGCTGAGCTGAAAGCTTAAGGGGCAAACATAGGTTTTCCTCACACTCTTCAAAGTGAGGAATCCAGGAAGAAAGCTAACTACTGGAAAAACAAATAAACAAGCAAACAAACAAATCAAAATCCTTCCTTCTTGTCTTCCCTGGGTCTGGAGACCTCCAGAAAACTGCTCTGCTGAAGATTGGGATACGTTTCCATGCGTACTCATTTCTCTTCATCAGTTGTCCTTGTTTTCACTGTTGAGAAAAAGGTTATATTAGTTTAACCATTTTTCGCACTCCTTTCTACTCCACCCTGGTGTCAATACTCAGCGTTTATAATGCTTGGTAAAAAAGGAGTATACAAAAATCAATACAAGCAATGGGGAAACACAAAGCATAACTAGCGACAAGCTGTGTGTATTTACTCAAGTAATTACATGTAAGATTGGTAATAAAGTTTTTCCCAAGACAATCCAGAAAAATGTTCCCAATTTAACAACCTTTTAATACTAAGCGTGAAAAGTGTTACTTAAATAGTACAGAGAGTAAAGACCTTGTGAAGTCTACGGTCTCCCTAGATGAGATTTAAAAACCACAAAGATCTAAGTGACAAGTACCCGTCCAAAATTTTCTGGATGACTTTCTTTAGAAAAGGGGCTTGTGGATCGAGACAAACTTCCGTCCCGTTCTTCAGGGAGGCTCTGAAGGAAAGAAAAGGAAGATACACTCATGAGATAGCAAGGTTGAAGACCCAGGCTGCGGGACTTCCCTCTTGCCAAGGTCACAGTGGACAGAGCAGCACAGAACTTACACCACTTCCACCTGGGAGCACTGCGGGCCTATGGCGAACACCTGCAGATTACTGATCCTTTCGGGTTGAACTCCCTGCGTGGTCTGTAAACAACTGCAACGCAGCTCTCTCAACGCAGCAGCGACAGGACCAACTGGGGAAGAAAGAGAGACACCTTTATAGGGCAGGTTGCTTGGTGAGTTCCCTGGAAGGCAGCTGCCCCGCAGAGGCTGGGATGCACCGCTGTGCCCCAGCGCGCCCCGCGTGCCAGGCGCTCTCACCTGGGCTGAGGGGCCCTGGGGGCGTCAGCAGCAGCAGCAGTGCGAGCAGCGCGCACAAGGAGCCCGAAGGACCCGGGACAGGGGCCGCGCAGCTGGAC